TATCCGGGATCTCGGAACAGTTCCTAACCTCTTTGAGACAAAGCTTTACTCGTCTGGGAGTCGATTGTGTATCTTGAAATGAGATGAAAATTACAAAAATGAGCAAATTCACTATGTACTGATCAATTAAATTATAAATATTCTAATAAATTTGCTCACTTTTGTCCACTGATTAGAGCTATCTGTCTCTTTCTATTCTTCGAACTCGTTTTCCGACAATGTACGAAGCTATCCGAAGAATACCGAATGGACAGAAGTAGAGAATCAATCAGAAGTTGGGACCGCATTGGTTCCGCTAAACTCTGATTATAGGATCTCTAGGCGCACCGGACGTTACAACCACCATGCGTCGAATCCATCGACATCTAGAATGGACCGCTGATGGCAATGGTGGGGGTAGAAAGACGATTAGAGTGAGAGGCAGGTCACTCTAATCGTCTTTCTACCCCCACCATTGCCATCAGCGGTCCATTCTAGATGTCGATGGTCGAATCCAATTTCTGGCTCATTTTAGCTTATTCTGTCTGAAAAAATGCACAAAGGTTTCGATTTTGCAACAGTATAATTATAGAAGTTGTACGCCCCTTTGCATCGCGTGAAAAGTCGAAACCCATGTGGATAATATATAGACCTCGGCCCATATTCAGAACGCGCTTACAACGATGTTAGCATACTATATGCTAACATACTATACTTTACGTCACGCATATTATAGAATTTCAGAGATAAAAGTGCGCTTTTATCGATAAAAGCGCGTTCTGAATACGGGCCCTCATTTTGCCCAAAGACTACCGGCCTATGTCTTTGATTTTGCCTCTATGACAGATTTCCTAACCTCAATAGTCATCAACTTTAAGGGTGCCGTCACATGCGGCGTAACTTGCGCAAGCATAACTTGCGCCGACCAATCATATCATTTCACTTGAACATCAGGTTCTGTTTAGTCACTTTATGCTTTTTACGCTATTTTGTTTTTACGCCGAAACGTGATAGAACCATTATGCATCGAATCTAATTTCTGGCTCATTTTAGCTTATTCTGTCTGAAAAAATGCACAAGGGTTTCGATTTTGCAACAGTACAATTATAAAAGTCGTGCGCCCCTTTGCATCGCGTGAAAAGTCGAAACCCATATGGAACAGTACAATTATAGACCTCATTTTGCTTCTGTGACAGATTTCCTAACCTCAATAGTCATCAACTTTAACGCTTAATATCTCAGATCACAAGGCAGAACGACGTTTTTTTTTGCCAGATTCTTTTGTTTCATGCAAAAACGCGACGAATAAAGGTGCGTTCCGTATCGTGCATGATGTGCATGATGCATCCATTGTCCTTGTTTAACATTTGGTGAGCAACAAGGATAAACGATGCATTATGCGCATCATGCGAGAAACGGAACGCACCCTAAGCCTAATGATAAATTTTCACGAGCTGCTCTAACCGG